TTGAATAAAAAAATTTTAATAAATAAATTTAAACAAAAAAAAATTTAAATAAAAAAATTTTAATTAAAAAAAATTTAAAAAAAAAAATTACAATAAAAAAATTAATAAACGCATTTAATAAAAAATTTATATGGAAAAAATTTTTAAATAAAAAATGTATATTGCAAAAAGAGTTTAAATTAAAAATTTTTATGAAAAACACTTTAAATAAAAAATCTATGCATGACGAAAATTCTAAATGTTTCTAAATTTTTGAAAATGTGTAATGAAAATAAAAAAAAATTATAAAAAAAAATTAAAATTAAATTAAATATTTTAATTCACCCAAACATTATGTTTTGTGCATTAGTAAGAAGCGGATAGCTAAAAAAAAAATTAATTATAAAAAACTCATGCAAAACTACTACAATTATACAATGAAAAAGTAGTATTAAATTTTACACAAACTTTTGTAGTAACAAAAAAAAACACATTGAAAAATGCATAAATGCTTCTAAAAAGTATAAAACATAGATAGTAAATGTATATAGCGTAGGTATATACATAAATGTTTGTATATATGTGAGCTATACAGCGGCAAGATAATAAAATGCAAACTTAAACTACATAAATACACAGTATAGTATAGTAGAACAGTCCGGTGTTGAGTTGAAAATATTATACGAAAAATATTAATTTAATTTATTTTAATTAAATATTTTCATTTGCCAGCGATTACTTGTGTAGTGTAAAGTTTGAAACAATATATGTATTTTTTTTAATTTAATTTTATTTTCATTTTCATTTCGATTTTGATTCGTATGTACCTTACATTATTTTCAATTATTTTGCATTACTGTTAATTAAATTTATTTCCCTTTTGATTTAATAACAATAAATACTAATCAAATATTTTCTCTTGACCACCCCCTAGCATAGCAACAACAACTACAGTACAGTGGCAGTGGCGCGTCTAATAGCCAACATATGCACTCTCGCGAAGAAGAGTGGAAGCCGGCGGAGAAAGGAAGACGAAGTGCTACGGTGTTGAACTGACTGACAGGCTGTCGACTAGTCAAAAACATAAAAATAAAATTTTCCTCTAGATTATGAATCAACAAGCAACAAAGGAGCCAAAATGACGAATGCCGCTGATGACAAATGTGTACCGCCAACAATCAATTAAACAACATATTGTACATGTTTTTTCTTTGCTAGTTTTGTTGTTGTTGTTGTTTTTTAACTAAAATTTAATTTTATGCATAATATGTATACATGTACATACATGTGTATAAATTAATAGTACGACTAATGCCAAATAATGTTTACTAATGTAGCTATGTACATATGTAGATATCTATGTATGTAAGTATAAATCACTGTTGGCTAATCATACAAATAATGAATCATTAGGGTAAGTGCCAAATGTATAGCGTAACGGTAAATTATAAATAATATAGCGACATTTGTAAGATGTCGAAAGCCAAAGTCATCAAGTGCGACACAAGCAGATCAATGCGACGACAGGGCGAAGGCAGGTTGCGAAAGGGCGCACGGTGACTGCGGCGCACAGAAGAATATTAAAGAATGTTGAAGACATCGCTTGAATACTAAAGCCTCGCAAAAATGTACACATTTTGGTAGGCTTAAGTAGCTCGATCGAAGAGTAAGTTTTGTTTATAAAATCCTTCCTTCAAAAATTGCCTTTCAACACACAACAAATTGTTGTTGGAAAACAGCATTTCTGCTTCTGTGAGTTCTTTGGCACAATTTATTTTCATAAATTTCCACATTTTGCATTTTCGTATATTTCTATTCATTAATTTTTATTTATTTTTAAATCATTCAAAAACAAATCAATGTTGATGGAAAACAAATAAAGTATTTGTCCGTCGGACAGCGAAAACGATAAATAATGGTTTTTTATTTTGAATATTTTGAATTTTGTTTTTACTTTATAAACATTATTGTTTTTTTCTTCACTCTTTGTTTGGCAGCATTTCAATAGCATATAGAGTGGGGAGCTAAAAGATTTGTGTGGGGGGAGGGTTGTAGAGAATGGTCTGCGAGCAGCACGCCGGCAGCAGAAAAGGCTAAAAATACTGAAAAAAAAACTGTACTAGTCAATATATTTTTAAAATAAGCAAAACGGCTTATCTTCATCAGCGAGTATCGTGCGAAGATTAAAAAAAAGAATTTCAAATCCTTTAAAAATATTCTTAGAATTATTTTTGAAGAACTTTTAAAAACATTTCTGTTAGTTTTTTTCTGCTTAATATCCACAAATTGTTAGCTATTTTTATTTAAACTTTTCAAAATTATCGTTAAAAATTATTTTTAATTTTTTTTTGAAAATTTTCTAAACGGTTTTCAAAATTTTTCAAAATGGTTTTCAAAATTCTTCAAAACGGTTTTCAAAATTCTTCAAAACTTTTTCCAAAAATTTCGAATCTTTTTCCAAATTTTCAAAACTTTTTCAAAATTTTCAGAATCTTTTTTAAAAATTTTCCAAACTTTTTCCAAAAATTTTCCAAACTTTTTTCAAAAATTTCAAAACTTTTTCTAAAATTTTCTAATTTTTTTCCAAAAATTTCGAAACTTTTTCCACATTTTCAAAACTTTTTCCAAAAATTTTCGAACCTTTTACAAAAATTTTCAAAACCTTTTCCAAAAATCTCCAAAACTTTTTCCAAAAATTTTCAAAACTTTTTCCAAAACCTTTCAACATATTTGACATTTTATATACTTCTTCCAACATTTTTTAAAACTTCTGCTATAAATCTTCAAATTATTTCAAAAGAGTTATCAATAAACATTTGGAAAGCATTTCTACAATTTTTTTGGTTTTCAAATTTTTTATAAGAACTTGTTAAATTTTTCCAAAACCCTTACATAAAGATTAAAAAATTTTCAACGAGTTGTAAAATTATCATTCTTATTTCAAAAATGTTGAAAAAATGTACAAAAATTCTCAAAAATATCTCCAAAAAGGTTTCAAAATTCTCAAAAACAAGATATATGTTTACCAAAAACTAACAGTTTTTCAACAAAAAAAAAAAATTATTTATTTTCCTAGAAAAAAAAAATGAAAAACTCGAATCTCTACTAATTATTTCCTATATTAACTTTTAGAAAATAGACTTAACGCACACACAAGCACAATGACAACTTGTAGCTGCGCAACACACGCCAATACGTGTCTAAATGGGATCTATGAATAGACGAGCAAGCATTCATTTCATTTCATTTCATTTTAATATACATACATACATTTTAAATTTATGTTTCTTCCACAATATGAACGCATAGCGTTATGCATGACTGTACATTGCTACATACATATATGTATATATGAACATAGTATACATATTTACTCGCGTATGAGCTGCACACTGGAACTGGCAAACATGCGCATCAACCTAAATTTTGCGCACGTAACAGTGTATATTCCCCTTAGCCACAGGCAGGTGGGATTGCCATGGTCTAAAAATATTATATATATATATATGTATATAGATATATGAAGAGATGTATGCAGTTGGAAACAATGCAGCGGAAATTTCAGATATCTTAAGCGTTTGGCGATATCTTTCAATAATTGTCAGGCATTGTACAAAAAGCGGTCATAAACATATAATTTATATGTGTACATACATATGTACAATATGTGCACTCAGAAATACATCTGTTTATGTACATACATACATACATACATACATACGTATGCATATGGAGGAAACATTTGTGTGTGCGTCTCTTGTGCTAATAATTCATGTTAATACTAATAAAGCGGTATGTATGTGTGTGTGTTTTTAAACATTGTAGATGACACAAAAACTGTGTAGTCAGTCGTAGCGTATTTAAAAATTGAATGTGCGTTTTGCGCACGGCACGAATGATATTTCAAAATTTGTTTTGTTGCCTTTTTTTTCAATTCAATTTGAAATTTCATATTTTTTCCTTTCAACTCTCGCTGGCCAACCTAATTATAAGCGTGTAGAGCAAGCAGTTCTCCGCCAAAAAACCAAAAATTACTTAAGTATGTGCTATATATGTATGAGTCGGCATAAGATTTTTTTGGATTTGAGCATTTCAAAGTGGCTCATTTGCTTTAGTTGTTTTTAGTGTTGATTTTTGAGTCGCTTTTGTGCGCCTGAAAAATGTTACTCATACGCCGTGGGCGACACTAGTTCACTGGTTTAGCTAAGAAATTTCGTTCTATTTATACCTATATGCATGTTGACTTGTTTGCCACACTGTTTGTGTATGTATGTGTATGCTAGATTGAGCAAAAAAAAATGTATTTAATAAATCTTCAAGCACTCGCATTCCACAATTGAGCGTTTTTTTCTCAATCAACTGGCCGTTAAATAGCTTAAATTCCACAAAAAAATACTTTTTGGACAATTTTCATTTTCTTTTTGGTAAAATGTACGATTTGCTTTGAAATTTAAAAAATTGTAATTTTAGTATTTTTCGTATTATTTAAATTTTTATTATCGTTTTTTCTTATTTTTTTTTCAATTGCTGATTTTTATTGCATTAAATTAGTAATAAAAATATACTTTTTATATAAATTCTTTTTATATTCGTTTTGTTATTTTTTTGTGTGTGAGTTTTTCTTCTATTTTGTTTTTTTTTTTGCATAATAATAAAATATTAATATTTATATGATATTGTTTCAAACTTTTACGACTAGTAGTTGTTATCTCGTTTTTTTTTTGTTTTTTACTTTTATGTTTTTAGAAAATATACTTTCTCTCTCATCATACTACTTAATGTGAACACTTTTCAGTTTTACGTTATTTTTCGATTGCGGTTTTCCTCTTCATCAACTTTGTTGCCCTTAATTTGCAATTTGAGTATTTTTCTTATTAGATATTTTGCTAGCAGTTTTTTTGTTTAGTTTTTGTTTTTTTTGCTTTTCGTTTTAGCCTATGTCCGTCAACGTTTATTTTGTTTTTGTTTTGCATTTGTTTGCAGCTGTTCACTAGTTTGTATTTTATTAAATCAATCCTTACTTTTAACAGTCAACTTAGCTGACGACTCGACCTGTCCAGTTGATGAGGTTACACGTACGGTGAATACGCCCGAATCCTCTTCATAAGTTGTTCCAATAAGTAGTACGGCACTATTGCCATCGAAGATCATCTGGAAGAGAGATATGATTAGTTAATAAAGATTAGTAATGAGATAGAGATAGATAGAGAGAAAGAGAGAGAAATAGAGAGATAGAGAGTATTAGGAAGTAGTTATATCGCAGTAAAGAGATTTTGGAACATTACCGCCTGGGTTTCACGTAACCAAACATGCAATTATTATTTCACCTAAATTCATAGCTTTCCCTAGTGGAAATACGAAGAAGAGTTTGAAATATTTCTAGTTAGAATGGTGTATTGGCATTGCTGAATATCTAGTCTGTGGCACAAGAGATCTTTGTAGCTACTTATCATGTAAGCTAAAGGTCTTTGAGTAGAAGAGGGTACCAGAAATTAATCTAATATGTTAATGTATACTCCAGGGTTACGAATAAATTTATTAAAAAGCTTTTTTAAGTTGTTCAAAAAAGAAAAAAATCGTAAAACTTTCTATGGCATTTTTTTTTTCTCTGAACAATTTACACCAACTGTAAATTTTAGTTATCAACAAACGCTGTAGAACTTAAGAGGGCAAAAAACTCAATAAACTATTGTCTCTATGCAAAAAGTTTTCGGCCAGTCTCGCCAGCTTGAAATGCAGTCAGAACTTTTTTTGTATAGATTTTCATATTTTTTTTGTAATTACAATATTCCAAAATTTTAAATCGTATAAAAAAAATAAAAAAAAAACTAAAAAAAAATAAATATTTTAAAAAAGGTACCAAATTTTAAACAATATCAAAATGTAAAAAAAAAACAAAACTAAAAAATAAAAAACCTATAAAATGTAAAAAGCTTAAAACCGTAATTGAATTTATTATTTATTTGTAAATTTATTTAAAAAAAATTAAGTTTGTTTTAAAGTTTCAAATTTTTAAATTGAATCCAAAATGTATAAAATAGTTCGAAGTTTATTTATATTCCAAATATTTATTAAGCGTTTGTAAAAACCTTTTAAATTTAAAAAAGTAATAAAAAATTTCGTAGGCTAAAAATTTAAATTTATTATAACATCCAAATTATATTCGAAAAAATATCGAAATATACTTTTTCTATTATCAAATATTTATAAACATTCAAATTAATAATAAAATTTTACAAAACAATTGCATATTTTTTTAATCTTATTTTTCCATGTTTTACAATTTAAAAACATTATTTAAATTATATAAAGAAAAAATTCTAAAATATTTGCAAAAAAAATATATGCATTGTATATGTATCTGTATGTATTTGTATAAATACATTTTTTTTTTCAAATCTAATTAAAAAAAATCTAAACGGAAATTTCGAACTATTTGGAAAAAATTATTTGTTAAATTCTTAAAATCTCAAATATTTAATTTATTTAAATAAAAAAAAACAAAAACATAAAAATGCATTGGAAATTAAAAAAAAAATAAAAACTTAAATACCTAAAAAAATTTTAGAACTTTAAAAAATTTTCTAAATATAAAAATCGAAAACTTTTGTTAAAAAAATTCAAAATTATTGCCGCTTTAGTTATTTTTATTTTTTAATATTTTTTCAATATTTACAATTTGCTTCAAAAGGTTATGAAATTGAGAAAGGGAATAAAATATTAGCATTTCGAAACTAAAAAAAGTTCAAAAACATTCAAAATATAAAACCATTGCCACTGTGATAATTACTTTCTTGTTTTATTGTCTTAGAATAAATTATTATTATTTTTTTATTTAAAGCTTACCCTAAAATGTGCAAATTTACAGAAAAAAAAGATTAAAATAATCACAGAATATTAAGAAAAAAATCAAAATCATAACAACATTAAACATAAAATTATTTTCAAGAGAATCAATTATTAATAAAATCCTATTTTTCCGTCTCATAACAATTTATGTTAGGTTTACTTGAAGCTAAAAGTGTACTTCAAAAGCCCCAGTGTCAAAAACGTCCAAAAGTTTACAAAATTGTTACAAAGCAATCTAAAAAGTTCATACATTAAAAAAAAAGTTCAAAGTTGTTGCCACCGTAAGTATTGGATTCATTTCTTACTCTAGAGTTCAATAAAAAAAATTAAAAATTATTATTAAATAGTTTTAAAATTTCTCAAAAAAAAAAAAAAAATATTGTATATTTGATTTTATACATGGTGGTGTATATTTTGGAATAACCGTTAGAGTTGCCTAACTGTGTTCATAATTGAATGTCATGCATAAGCCCTATGCAACAGTGGCTGATATTTTCTAATTATTCTTTTTATATTAAAATTTCTGTCAAAAATTTAAAATTTAATATTTCGTAATTATTAACTTTATGACGAAAATATGCGATTATTCGGGATAATAATGAAATTAGTTGGATTGTTCTGCAGTTAAAGATTTATACAAATAATTGAAATTTCATTTATACGTTACAAAAAATAATCGATTAATTTGTCATCTCAATTAATTTTAAGTTTGATTTTTAAATCGCAGGCTGTGAGAGACTTTTAGTTTACAAATATTGATTTTCAAAAAAAAAAAAAAAAAAACAAAAAAGTATTCGGGACAACTATGGAAGACCAAAAAAAATTCAAAATTTAGTCTATCAATCCGAAACTAATTATTAACTAATTTATTTTTATTTAATTAATTTATTCGAAATGTAGCAAATCGGTTAGATTTTGAGTGTTTAAAAATGTATTCAATCAGTAAAAAACTATTTCGTTTAATCAAATATTTATTATCTATTGATTAGTTGACGAATAAAATTTCAATTCATCGACTAATCATCCAATCATGCATCCCTAAAACATTCCAAAAATCAACGTGTATTTGGCCTGGCTTTTTCTCGGTAGCAGTTTCAAAATATCACTCATTTTACTTTTAACTATGATTTTTCAAATAATTATGTTTATTGAATGACAAAATAAATTCTTCATTGATTGCCTGAATTTGAATTATTTTGATTAATCGAAATATCGGAATAACGCAATTAATGATTAATTCGACAAATTATTAATAAAGAAATGATATATAATAAAAAAAATATATAAATTAAAAATACATTATTTGCAATTATTACTCACTTGGAAGTCAGGGGTTTCCGGTATGAGTGCACCCTCACGGAACCATTGCACACTGGTCGCCTTCACTTTACCGGTAACGGTTGTCTTGAATTGTGCTGGCATACCCTCGGTCACGGAGACATCTTTCAGTGCAGTGATTGTTGGTGGGGCATCGAGATTCTCAATTGGACGCACCTTCAATTGAGCGCTGGTCTGTATGCTGCCTAGCTTATTCTCGGCGACGCACTTATAGGTACCCTCATCCTCGGGGAAGGCTTCAGAAATCACCAGTTGATAGTATTCACCTTGACGTGTCATTTGGAAGTAACGCGATGGCTTTACAATATTCTCACCACGCAACCAACGTGCAGTTGGTGTGGGCTTGCCCTCAATACGACAACGGAAGATTACCTTGCTACCCTCCTCAACCGATTGACTCTTCAGCTTCTCAATAATGTGTGGTGGCTTTTCACTGCCTGGCGTGGTGGGTTTATCCGGTTTGGTTGGTGATTGTACAACACAATCGGCATCACAACGTGCCTCACCGGCTACATTGACGGCAACACACTCATAACGGCCGGAATCTTCGGCGAATGGTTCGATAATGAGTAGTGTGTAAACATTATCTTCTTCAAGCATTTTGAATTTTATGCTAGGCTGTATCTTCTGACCATTCTTTAACCAATAGACATCCATTGGTTTCGAACCAGTTACCTTGGCATCAAAACGTGCCAATTGGCCGGTGGCAACATTGGCACTCTGTATAACATTCACAAAGCTGGGCGGTGTGAGACCACCTTTGCCGGCACGACGACGTTCTTCAACCACCAAATTGGCGCTGCACTTAGCAGTGCCTCCGCGATTTTCAGCAATGCAAGAGAAGACAGCGGAGTCTTCGACAAACACCTGACGTATGATGAGTATAGATTTGCCGCTGAAGGTATGTATTTGCAAATCGGGTGAGCTCTTGATGGGGAAATTCTCACGGTACCATTTTACAGTGGGCATTGGTTCGCCATCGAACTCCACTTCAAATTTAGCCTGCTCATTTTCGAACACGCGGCATGGTTGTATCTTCTTGGTGAACACTGGCGGCTTTGATGGTTGTACGGGTCCCTTGACAACGCGCTCCTGCACGGTGCCTTTATGCTCCATTTCGGTGGTTTCGGTAGCGGTAATCTTGCGTGTAATCTCCAAATCGCCAACAACTTCTTTCTGCGTTTGTTGCTGTTTGTTCATAATCACCTCACGACCATGTACGGACGACTCGGCGGGTTCAATTGGTGGTTTCTTGACAACCTTATTTGTACCAGCTGTTGTTGTTGTTGAGGTTTGTTCTTCCCTAAAGGTGTGTAAGAGTGAGAGAAAAGTTGAATTCACAGTGGAAAAAACACCGAAATAGATTGTTCAAACTTACAAATTCTCCTCATAAGATTTGGCCATGCCCTTGGCGGCAGAGCTCTGCACAACCTTTTCACCGGGTATCGCATATTGATGAGCTTCCTTGCGCAAATTGGTCTCCTTCAGCAATTGCTCGGTCTCCAACTCTTGCAGTTTGCTATAGTAATCTTCACTCTTCTTAGCCTTAACGGTCTGTTGCCATTCGGGTGTTTCCTGTTTGATTTGTTTGGGTTTCAAGTGTTCGATACCCTTCAGTGGTTTACCTTGATCGGCCAAATATTGTTTGCGCTCATCGAATATCTTATCCAATTCGGTTTCTTGACGTTCTTTCTGATAAGCAGTTAGCTCATAATCATACCAAGCTGTAGGCAGGAAGAGTAGGAGTAGTTTTCATTAAAAACATGCTTACTTTTGTTTTCAACAAATTACAGTTGTAACGCTACTTCGTAATATACGCAAAAAGTAGTAGTATAACTTTAAGGGAAATCAAATAATATTTACATCTTACATTTTGGAGATTCGTGCTCCTTCGGTGCTTACCTGGTAGTAGCTAACTCTAATATCTTTGATAATAAGCATTAATAAACAATAAGCATAAGCATTCATTGGCGTTTAGATATCAGACGTTTCATGCACGAAAGTTCAATGGATGTGTTCAAAAAATATGATTTCAAAGAGACCGAAGGCTATCAGAAGAATGAACGTTGAAGTCAAACCAGCTTCAAAACATATAATCTTAAAAGATAGAACTTCAATTATATATGACTGCCTCGAACTATGAATGTGATTAGTGGGATTTCTACCATTAAAATCTGTATTCAATCATACTAAAAATAAATAATAAAAAAATATTATTAATAATAAAAAAATATTATTCTAGAAGAAAGGGAATGTGTTTTCGAAGTGCATAATACACCATATTATTGATCCAAAGAAGATCTGAAAAAGATTCTAACAAAAGGTAATGGTTTGGATTTTGAAATCTTCATTTAAAAGCCAACATAACCTCAGGCTTATTTGATAAATTTTATGGAATTTTATATAACTTTCCATAATACGCTATCGATTTGAAGGAAATCAAGAACGAGTTCATTGGTATTTTCAGAAATGAAAAATTAAAAATATTTATAGAAATGGTTCTAGCTAAAGACTTTGTGGTATAAGTTATGAAATCATCAATCATCTAATATGACGATCTGTTACGAGTAATAATTGCACTTGAAGCAAAAGCCGGGGACTTTGTACTCTCTTGAAGATATTTTGTGGAGTTTTGGATCGATTTTAGTAGACTTCCTACTCGATACCCTATTATAATTCAAAAATTAATTAGTTTATATGAAAATGTTGTAGACAAAAGTCTATTAAAATAATGTAGTTTACCAGATTCAGCAAAACCGGACGTGTCTCATAGCTCATTATTCGAATAATAATTTTCTAGTCAAGTAAACCGCAATTCCGATCAATTTAAAATGGTCACCATTAACACGAAGCGTATAAAACCTTTAACAAGGCCGAAGCCAATGTTTCACTTGTTCATATAATGTGAAGCATGCATTCACGGCTGTTTCAAGATCAACGAGATTTTTAATTATTCCCGAAAAATGCTTTTGAAATTTTGTCATATGAATTTTTAGAAAATTTCGATAGAATTCTCACATACTTTTGGGAATCTTTGAGAATGTACTACGGCGCTCAAAAGATATTTTATTACATTTAAGTTTATTTTATTTTATTACATTAAATTTTATTTATTATAATTCATTTCTTTTAATAAAAAATTTTTTTTTATTATAACTTTTTAATTTTTCCTTTTTAATTTGAATTGATTAAATTTAATTTTAAATGGTTTTGCTTTAATTGTTTATTTAATCCATTTTATTTTGTTTCATTCCACTTTACTTTGACATTTAATTTTTTTCTTCTGATTATTTTTATTTAAATATTATGGATTTGTTTTGATTTTTTTATCTTTTCGTTTTATGTTATTAAATTTAGTTTAATTGTTGTTTTTTTTCATTATTATTGAAAATTTTATTTTATTTCAGTCATTTAATTTCTTTAATACTGTTAAGATAAATTTTTTTCTTTCAATAATAACAATTAGATTTTAATTTTTTTTATTATTTTTAATTTTATTTGATTAAATTTTATATCATATATATATTTTCTATATATATATTTGCTTTATCAGGTCAGTATTCTGTAGAATTGTTTTGTGTTTTATGGATTTATCTCACACCATATATTTTTGGGAATATGTGAAAAAATTACAACAATAGTTTTGGGCGATAGAAGTATATATGATTTTGTTTTACTTATTTCATTTTATTCTATTATGATTTATTTAATTTAATTTAATTTAATTTTTATTTATTTTATTTTGTTTTATTTAATTTAATTTCATTTAATTTAATTTAATTTTTATTTATTTTATTTTTGTTTTATTTTATTTTATTTTATTTTATTTTATTTTATTTTATTTTATTTTATTTTATTTTATATTATTTTATTTTATGTTATTTTATTTTATTTTGTTTTCTTTATTTTATTGTATTTTATTTTATTTTATTTTATTTTAATATATTATTTTATATTTTATATAACTGTGTTTTATTTTATTTTTTAATTTAGTTCATTATTATTAATTTTTATTCAATTTATTTTATTGTATTTTCATTTATTTTATTTTTATTTATTTAATTTTGTTTTATTTTATTATTTAATTTGGTTTTAGTAGACTTTTTTATTTATAAAATTTATATTGTATTGTTGTTTTATTTTACGTTTTTTTCAATGCATTTTTTTATATATTTTATTAAATATGTTTTAAATATAAGTTTGTTTACTGTTTTATTTTAACTTATTTTATATCATTTTTAGTAATTTTACTCTAATAAATGCAACGTAATGTTTTTTTTTAACAAATTTGAAGCAATTTTTTGATCACATCCGTATGAGAGTAATGAAATTTATTGCGGTTAAAAGGAATAATAATAAAAGTAGTAATATTTTTATATACAACTCAAATACATAATATCATACAAGACAGACATGCAAATGATTGGAAAAAATTTTGAGAATTCCAAGATATTGACAGCTTATGATTTTAGGCTGGATGACAGCATGCTTGACAGATTTTAATACTAATAGGTGAAATAAAATTTGAGAAATCATGAAAAAATGTACATATGTAAATTAGCTTATATGCTTTGAAAACACAGTAGATGTTTTTTTTTAGTAAAAAGACAAGTTGATGTATATGCAACTAAGACATAGAGAGACAGATAGATAGAAAAAGAGAGAGCGTGAGAGCAAACTCTTGCAACATTCTTCAAAAAAGAATTGAGAGTAAAACAAATAATTCTTCACTTTCGTCGAAAGATAAAATAAAAACAAATTCTACAAATACTTCAAAAACTAAAACTCAAAAATACTCACTGATTTTACACTAAACAAAAAATTAAATATTACACAAAACGAAATTTACAAAAAGAAAAATGCTACATTTTATGGACACTTAGCAAATGTAAAACAATAGTAAACCTTTACGTTGGCAGCGAGCACCGCTATGCTTGATTCAGCAGCTGCTAGAGCCGTTGGGCATATCCAAAAAGGCCAGCGGCAGGCTGGATTGGTAATACTTCGAGGATAGAAAGCAGCAGCTTGGCGGTGGGTGGGTTCGATTGGTTTTTTCTCGGAAAGGAATATCAGGATTTGATATTTAGGTGGGAGTGGGTTTTTAAAAATATCAAAGGATTGGAGTGTATTTGTGTAGAAATAATACTACTAAAATATGGTATTGGAAGTATTTTTTTAAAATTATTTGGCTTTTGATTTCACCAGTGGAATAGTGTTTAATTTGTGAAAGAGTTTTCACCCTTTTGAAATTTGTATGTAGTGGAACACATATTCTTATGCCTCTTTGTATTTCTAATAAATACTTATGTATATTGAACTTTTTTCGAAAATCTGTGCTTGGGTAATAAGTGAGCGGGGTCTGTGGTTCAGAAATATCACTTTTTCTAATTTTTGAAATTTTATTTAAAATTCGAATATTGCATATATGTATTTTTGAAATAGTATTTTGAAAATTGTATAAGTGAAATCCAGTTTGTGTTCGAATATTTCAAGTAATTTCTTTTAGTTTCGAAATATATTCTAAATAAGCTAAAACCGATAAACCGCGCAGGTGCCGGTGGTGGTGGTGGTGGTGGTGAAAAATGTTTATGTATATATTTACAATGTCTGATGTTTTTATTTGGTTATTAAAAAGTAGTAAATTTTAATTTGTTCACAAGAGAAAAAACATCTATAAACTACATAAGTTCTTTGGAAGTATTTTTTTTTTTTTAGAAATAAGTAGTATTTCTGTATGTAAGTGCATATTTATATATTTATATAAGTATTTATTTTATTTGTTATTGAAAACTATCCAGTTGCATAACTAATTTTATAAAGTGTAAAAGAAATTTATAAAAATAATATATATATGTATATTTGTTTTGGTTTTCTTCTACAAACTAATTTCATATAAGAGCAGCTAATAGTAATTGTGTTAATTTCTGTAGTGCAATGTAAATAAACGTGTATACTGTATTTAGCGTATACTTACGACGTGGTGAATTCTTCAAGACACCGCGATAATCATCTGAACGTTCAACCACATTCAGTTGGGTGGTGGCGATGGCTTCGCCAACCGAATTTCTAGCGATCACCTCGACTTTGCCTGTATCGTATTGTCGTGTTTTTGGTATGTCCAAATGGAACATGCCATCGTTCGTTAGTTTGTAACGTGAGCCCTAATTGAAAGCAATGGGCATTGTTTAAGAACACTGTTAAAGAAATTTTAAATGTTTACTTTTACTTACATGCACAACGGTGTGTCCATTGATGAGCCACATAACTCTGGGACGTGGATGGCCAGTTACGCGTACACAGAAACGTGCGGGTTCGCCCTCCTCAACGGTTTGTGGTTCCAATTTGCTAACGAATGTAGGTTTGGCTCTTGGTTTTGCATCGGGATCGACTTCTTCGGGTACACTGGAAGAAAAAAAGAAATGTTTAAAAAGGTTTTAATTACAATTTAATGAAACTTTCTTTCTTTAACTGTTTATCGAGGGTATTTGGCTCCTATTTATTTTCATTTTGCTCTTTTATTGTTTTTTATGTTATTTTTTATTTAATTTTTTATTTTATTTTATTTTACACTGTTTCATTACAAATAATATAAAATAATTTCATTTAATTTAATTTATTTTATTTATTTTTTACTTCATTTCATTTTGTTTTTTTATTTTATTTTTTTATTTTATTTAACTTAATTTTATTTTATATGTGGCCTTATTTAATTTAATTAAATTAAATTTTTTAGCTTTTTTTTCCCAATGTAATTTAATATTATTCTACTAAATTTTAATTTTTAATTATAGTTTTACTTTAAATTTTTATTTTTATTTGTTTTTATATTATATTACTTTGTTTCATAATATTTTGTTTTATTTTATATTATTTTATTTAATTTTTTATTTTATTCTTAGTTAATTAATTTAATTTAATTTACATTTTCTCGTATTTGGTTTTACTATATTTAATTTAATTTATTTTTTTTTATTTTTTATTTAATTTAATTTAATTTTTTCATCTTTTATTTAATTTAATTTAGTTTTATTTTATTTTTAATTTTTATTTCTTTTTAATTTAAATTTTATTTTAAAATATTTTATTTTATTATTTAATTCATTTAAATACATTTTTTTAATTCAATTTAAAATAACTTTGTATTTGGCTTCACTATTTGGTTATATATTATTTAGTTTAATTTTATTTATCTTTTTTCAATTTTATTCATTTTTTATTTAATTTAATTCAACATGATTTAATTTGAATTTATTTTATTTTATGTTTCGTTTTTATTTTGTATTTTTTTTATTTATTTTATTTTTATTTTATTCCATGTGATTCGACTTAATTTAATTTCATTTTTATTAATTATAATTTACTTTAATTTTTTTTTTTAATTTAATTGAATTTTTATGTATAATTTTAACCAATTGATTTTAGTTTTATTGTCATTTGAAACATTTTTATTGTTTTTTTTTAATTTTTGTTGCTTTAAATTTAATTTGATATTTGTTTTAAATCATTTTATTTAATTAATTAAATTTTTTTTTCATACGTTTTTTATTTAAATTTGTTTTATCTATGCCCTTTGTTGAAATAACATAAATAACTTTGTGTGGTGTTGTATTTAAGATATCTACATACTCTTAAATCTATATGTATACATATATTATTTACTTACACTTGCCACGATGCTTCCATTTCGCGAATGCGCTGTATGGATCCCTCTTGCATGTGAGCTGGCAGTTGTGAATCGTAGACAATGCCAGGTTTGCCAGAAACCTTAATGAAAGCACGAGTCTCATCCTTGCCATAAAGATTGGTAGCACGGCAGACGTATTCGCCACTATCCTCTGGATAAACCCAGCCGAAGTTCATGGCGACGTAACCAAAATCGTAAATTGGTTGGAAACGATTCTCTACAAATTGAGGAAAATAAAATAGAAAATTTAGTGCTCTAATTGTTATATCTACAGAGGGGTGAGTAGACTACTATATCTCCCTTCATATATAGCCAATTCTTTCAAAGAAACTTACTGTACAACAGCGGCTTGCCGTTGAAGAACCACTCAACCTTCATATTCGGATCACCGACTGGCGCCAATTGACATTCAAATTTGGTATTAGCCATTTCAGTGAGCGTAGTCTGATCCTTGATTTGTGTAACGAAACGTGGTGGTTGCTTACGATCCGGATCGAAGAGATCATCCTCAGTCAAATGCACCTCAGAAGTGTACTTCTTAATGGTCGCCTCCATTTGAGTGAGTGTCTCGGTACGTTTCATGCCACGAGGTACTTGATTTTGCAGCATAATAGTTGGGAGCTCTGGAGTGACAAAGTGACAAAAATAATGCATGATTATAAAATATTTATTATTCTCGAAAGAGCTACTTACTCTTGCATGAAATTGTGGCCTTTGTGCGTGCCTCGCCATGTTTGTTGACAGCACGGCAGACATACTCGCCAGAGTCCTCAGCATAGACATAGAGAATATCGAGTGAAACATAACCCATATCAAAAATGGTTCTATAACGATGACCGCTCGGGAGCGGCTTGCCATTGCGGTACCATTCCACACGCAAGTTGGGATCGGTCTTTGGCTCCACTTGACACTCAAAGCGCATAGCTTCGGCTTCCTCAGCGGTGACATTTTGAATTTCCGTGACGAACTCTGGAGGGCCGAAATCTGGTTCCACAATTTTTGGTGCATCTGGGATGCGGCCACGTTCAAGTTCCTTCAATTTTTCAGCGGTCATGCTATCAGGCAACTGAGTGTCATATACGATATTGTGTTTGCCCTTGCAGGTAACTTTGGCAGTGGTGGTGGCAGTGCCCCATTTGTTGGTGGCACGGCAAGTGTACTCACCAGCATCGCGTGTATAAATGTAATCGATATCCAAAGCGATGAAACCGAAGTCGTTGAGCTGATGTACACGTGATCCGGTCGGCATAGGACGACCATTGTAGAACCAATCAATGCGCATGGTGGGATCGCCAACTGGTTCAACGCGGCAGTCGAAGTGTATGGGACCACCCTCGGGCACATCGAGATTATCCTTGATATCCTCAATAAATTTAGGCGGATTAGGTTGCTCTTCATCGATAACAACCTCTTCACGCTTATGCATGCTCTCTTCCAATTTCTGTAAGCTCTCAGTGCCGGTACGGAAGTTCGAGGGCAATTGAGGTTCGACAATGATGCCTTGCCGTCCCTTGACCTGCAGTTTGCATGAAACTGTCGCCTCACCATGCTTGTTGGTCGCCTTGCAGGTGTACAAGCCGGAGTCACGTTGATAACAACCGGCAATTTCCAAAATAACAAAACCAAAATCGTTAATGGTCTTAATGCGTGATCCAGCCCACAAAGCTTTGCCATTGTGGAACCAATCAACACGCATGCTGGGATCATTAACCGGCTGCAAACGGCACTCGAAGTGTGCGAGCGAGTTTTCGGTGATGACCATATCGAATGGCGTGGTGATGAACTCTGGTGGTTTACCACTATCGTCTTCGGGCACAAACTCAGTGCTACGCATGCCCAATCCCTCCAACTCGGCAATACGATCAATGGTTCCTTCCATACCTTTAGGCAATTGAGACTCCATGATAATGCTACGTTTACCTTGAATCTTCATGGTGGCTGTGGTTACAGCCTCACCGTATTCGTTGATAGCACGGCATGAGTACTCGCCAGAGTCCTCTGGATATACAGGTGAGATTTCCAAGATGACAAAACCAAAGTCGCAGAATGTGCGGAAACGTGAACCCGCCTTGAGTGGACGTCCATTCCAGAACCATTCGACGCGTAGACGTGGATCGTCAGTTGGAGTGACACGCGCTTCGAAGTGTGCGTTCTCGCCTTCCCGTAAGTTGTCAATATTCTCCAGTGGTACTGTAAAGACAGGTGCCTTGCCCTTGCTCTCCTCGACAGTTTCGTCACGTGTACGAATCATGCTGTACTCTAGATTGGCGATCTTCTCCAAACCACCTTCCATACCGCGTGGCAATTGTGAGTCCAAGATCAAGTTAGCTTTGGATGTGCACTTCAGTGTGGCGCGTGTCACGTCTTCGCCGTACTTGTTAACGGCACGGCACTCATACACACCTGAGTTCTCCTCATAACAGTACAAGATATCCAAAATAACAATGCCGAAATCGTGGAAAGTGCGGAAACGGTGTCCGTGTGGCAACTTCTTGCCATTGAAATACCATTCGACCTTTAGATCTGGATCTGTGACTGGAGTAAGGCGAGCCTCGAAGTGAGCACTCTGTCCCTCCACCAACTTTGTGATATCGGCAATTTGTGTAATGAACTTCGGTGGCTCTGTAACCACTGGCGCACTAGTATCGCCCTGTTGTCCCTGTGGGCATTCCAATTCGCGAATTCTTGGTAATGAGTCAGGTTGCAGACTGTCATAGAAGACACCACCGCGACCGCGGCAGTTCAGTGTTGCGCGGGTGAAATCTTCACCATATTTGTTGTAGGCGCGGCACATGTATTCGCCACTGTCATGATCTTGTAAGTAAGCTACATCGAGCACAACGTAACCGAAGTCCGAAACGGTCTTGATGCGATTTGAGTGACGCATGAGCTTGCCGTTATGATACCATTCAACTTTAAGTTCGGGATCATTTACTGGTATCAGTGTGCACTCGAAGTGGGCAGACTGGCCGTCCTTAAGACCTTCCAGAGACTGGATGTGTGAAGTGAATCGTGGTTTCTGACCACGTGGCTTCTCTACGCATTCCAGCACGCAGCTTGTTTCAGCGCTGCCATACTTGTTGGTGGCACGGCAAGTGTAGGTGCCGGAGTCCTCAATCTTAGTGCCAAGAATTTCTAAAGCAACCATACCGAAGGCATAGATGGTACGGACACGGTGACTAGCTTCCAAAACCTTGCTGTTGTAGAACCATTCAATGACCATACTTTGGTCACCGGTTGGTATGAGATTCGCTTCGTAGTGGGCGATCTCGCCCTCTCCGACATCCTTGATGTCAATGAATTCGGTGGTGAAGCGCGGTGCCATGCCTTCTTCGGGTTTCTCTGGTTTCGAGCCATCCTTACGTAAAGACTCTTCCAAATCTTGAATTTGTTCCAAACCTTCGGCGCCCTTTGGATGTTGTGTCTTTTCGATGATACTTTCCTTGCTGGTGCAGAAGATGGTTGTAGTTGTGAATGCCTCGCCGGCCTTGTTGTATGCCTTGCAAGTGTAAATACCTTGATCACGCTCATACACTTCCGTCAAGTCCAAGGTGACGAAACCGAATTCGCTGGTCATCTTGAAACGTGAGCCGTGTTGCAGAATCTTGCCGTTGAAGTACCATTCGATGAAGAGGTTGGGATCTTCCTTTGGTTCGACATTACCCTCCAAATGCAATGCTTGCGCTTCGGAGAGATGGAATTCGGCTTGCAATGGTTTTGTCCAAACAGGCGCTGGGTATTGAGTTTCCGGTTTGGAAACTTGACGCGAGTAGCGATTAGCCAATTCCTCTTCGGTTTCCCGTACAGCTTCCAGGCCAGCCTCCCCCTGTGGATGTTGTGTGTCGAGGTAGAAAGTCTTACCGCCGGTACATTTGAGTGTGCCCGATGTGGTAGCGGAGCCTTTGCTGTTGGTAGCCTTCAGCGTGTATACACCGCTGTTCTCTGGATATGTGTTGGATAGATCCAAGGCACAGTAGCCGAAGTCGTAAATAGACTTGCACTTAGCGGCAGCTTGTAAGGGCTGACCATTGTAGAACCATTCAATTTGCATTGTTGGATCACGTGACGGTTCGACCATCGATTCGAAGCGTACATTATCGCCCTCTTTGCATTCGATATTATTCAAGTGAGTGGTAAAGACGGGCAGTTCGTATACAGGTTCGGGTGCATCTGGACGTCCCGGTTTTGGTGCTTCCAATTCACCAATGCGTGGCAGAGAGTCGGGATGTAGCGACTCACCTTGCAACCAATGGCGATCTTCAATCTTAAGACTGCATGTCGATACAGCTTCACCAACTTGGTTGGTCGCCTTGCAAGTGTAGATGGCGGAGTCATCAGCGCGCAGTCCATTAACAGACAAAGTAACCAATCCGAAGTCGAAAGTGCTGCGTATGCGTGAACCGGTGGTGAGTGAAATACCATTCTTGAACCATTCAATACGCAAGTTCGGATCAGCGCGTGGTTCAACTTGGGCCTCAAGCAGCACGTGCTGGCCTTCAGACAGCTTATCGTAGCTTTGCAAGTGTGTGGTGAAGACTGGTGCCTGTTGTGGTGTAGTGTCTACGAACATTTCTGGCACACGGTTCATGGCGGCCTCCTTCTGGCGAATAGCCTCCCATGACTCTGGGATCAATGGATCACCAGCGATATTTGACTTAGTCTTAACTTTCATGGCAGTCGAAGAAACAGCTTCACCGGCAGCGTTGTAAGCGCGGCACATGTAGACGCCAGCATCCTCGGGCACCACAGCGTTTATGTCGAGTGTAACGAAACCAAAATCGTGCGTGGTGCGCAAGCGTGAGCCCATTTGCAACTCGACGCCATTGATATACCACTCAAACTTCAATGATGGGTCTCCAACTGGCACAACACGTGCCTCGAAGTGTGCATGCTGACCCTCCCATAGTTCAGATGGACCTGTGAGCAGTTGCGTGAATATTGGTTTTTCGAAAGCGCGCTCTGGTTCTTCGGCACGTGGTGCGGACGGGCGCTCCAATTGATGAATGCGGCTGATACTATCTGGATGTTGGGTATCCATTTGGATGGAGGCTTCGGAAACTACGCGCATAGAAGCGGTAGTGACAGCCTCACCCAAGGGATTGACAGCGCGGCACATGTACACACCCTCGTCTTCTTTGCGGATGTGTGAGATGTCCAAAGAGACAAAACCGAAGTCGTGTTGTTTGGTGATACGCGAGCTGTCCTCTATGATTTTCTCATTGCGGTACCACTCGACTTTTAGATTAGGATCACCAACCGGTATAAGACGGCACTCGAAGTGTGCAGTTTGGTGTTCATTAATACGATCGATATTCTGCAGTGGTTGCGTGAATACGGGGCGTTGTCTAGTGCCTGGTGTTTCAACTTCTGGACGTTGGAACGGAGCATTCGATTCAAGTTTGCGAATCTTCTCCAAACCTTCGGGATGTTGTGTCTCCGAAATGATGGTGCCACGTGCATTCACCTTCAGACTAGTCGATGAAACGCATTGACCTAATGCGTTGATAGCACGCACCGAATATTCGCCAGCATCTTCGGGTACAGCGTGTGTGATATCCAATGAAACGTAGCCGAAATCAAAGGTGATGTGGAAACGTGCAGCCGATGGGAGCGGTGTGCCATTATGATAGAACTCAATGCGTAAGTTTGGATCATGCACTGGCGCAACCTGAGCTTCAAAGTGCGCAGTTTGGCCCTCAAAGATCTCGGTGGTGCCACGCAGTTCAGCGGTGAAGTGTGGTGGACCAATGGGTAAGTCACCGGGCTCAGTGCGTGCTGGTGCAGCCTTAGCTTCCAATTTTTGGATCTTCTCCAATGCATCGGGATGTTGAGTATCCAAAATCATGCTACGTCGGTTCAAAATCCGTACATTACAGGTATTTACAGCTTCACCAAGCAGATTCGTGGCCTTGCACATGTAGGTGCCGGTGTCCTCACCATAAACATACAAGATGTCTAATGCAACATAGCCGAAATCGTGTGTAGTTCTGAAGCGATGACCTGTTGGCAGCTGTTTGCCATTACAGAACCATTCAATCTTTAAGTTAGGGTCATTTATGGGCTCCACACGACACTCTAGATGGGCGTGTTCGCCTTCCTTGAGATGTTCCAAGTTGCTTAGTGGAGTTAGGAATATTGGTTTCTGACCCTTCTCCTCTACGACAGGTTTAGTGGGTGGTGCATAGCTCTCAAGTTGGCGAATCTTCTCCAAACGCTGGGCATCCATGGTGTCGAAGTCCAATGTCTTGTTTGCTGTAAAGAAAAACATTTAATTTACTCAATAAGTATTAAGTCAGCTGAGGTAAACGAAGCGAGTCACAAAGTGATTGCCGACACTTACCTGTTACGTTTACAGCACAAGTCGTGACAGCTTCCCCTACGGCATTCTTAGCCTTGCACATATAAGTGCCAGTATCTTCAGCATGCGTGTACAGTATATCCAAAGCAACGAAGCCGAAATCGTAAGTGGTCTTGAAACGATGACCAGTTTGAATGGGCGTACCATTACAATACCATTCCACCTTCATCGTTGGATCATTGACTGGTGTCAATGTGGCCTCCAAGTGTACTGGTGTACCTTCGTTCACGTTTGCATTGCGCAGTGGACGTCCAAATTGAGGGCGTTCGGCAAGGAATTGTTCCTCCTCGACCTTGCGTTGATAGCGTGACTCGTCCTCCAAATGTTGGATCTTTTGCAAAGCCTCCTCGTGCTGGGTTTCACGTATGATTGCGGAACGTGATTGCACATTGAGACTGATAGAGCTGACTGCCTCGCCCAATTTATTGGTAACACGGCAAGTGTACTCGCCGCTATCCTCGGCGTAAACAGTGAGGATATCTAAAGCGGCGAAACCGAAGTCGTATGTGGTGCGGAACCGATGGCCTGTGCTCAATGCCTTGCCATTGTGGAACCATTCCACCTTAAGATTTGGATCGGGATATGGTTCTATGCGACATTCGTAATGTGCGCTTTGGCCTTCAACCAAATTGGTGGGTCCAATCAATTTCGTGACGAAGCGTGGTGGTTGGCTTACGACATACTCCTCCTCTTCGCGACGTTGATACTTGGTATGATCTTCAAGCTGATGAATTTTGTGCATGGCGGCCTCGTGCTGTGTCTCCATTTGAATGGAGGTCTTTGATTGTACGATGAGCGAAGCGGAAGTGACAGCTTGGCCAAGCTCGTTAACGGCGCGGCAAGTGTAAGTACCAGAGTCTTCCGGATTTACATATTTCATATTGAAAGCGACGTAACCGAAGTCGTGCATGGTGGTGGTACGATTGGAAGCTTCAATTGGTTGTCCGTTACGCAACCATTCAACCTTGAGGTGTGGATCACCCACAGGTATTAGACGCGCTTCGAAGTGCACAGCTTGACCCTCCGCGACGCGTACATCACGCACAGGTAGTGTGAAAACTGGTGCTTGGCTAACCACCTCATCTTGCACGCTAATGCGTTGACGCTTAGCGCCATCTTCCAAATGTTGTAAACGTGGGAGGGCACCTTCGTGCTGCGACTCCAAGTAGATGGATTTCTTAGTGTGCACAATAGCAACGGCTGAGGTAATAGCCTCACCGACGGCATTGTAAGCGCGGCAGGTGTAGGTGCCGGCATCTTCAGGCAAGCAGGACATAATATCCAGTGCCACAAAGCCAAAGTTATTCGTTTCGGTGAAGCGGGAACCAGATTTCAGTGGCAAGTTGTTGTGGTACCACTCTACACGCATTGAGGGATCTGAAACCGGTATCAAGCGGCATTCAAAGTGAGCGCGTTGGTTTTCTTTGATTTCGACATTCTTTAGTGAAGTAGTGAAAACTGGCGCTTGCTTGGTAGTTTCATCAACCTCCTCACGACGAGAGTAACGTGAGCGATCCTCCAAATAGTGGATTTGCTCGAGACCGGCTTCGTTTTGTGTAACCGTAACAATCTGCTCGCTACTACGGCATTGCAATTCTACTTGAGTCTCGTCCGAGCCAATCAAGTTAACAGCGCGGCAGGTGTAAACACCGGAGTCCTCTGCGATCAAGTCGACAATGTCCAAAGCGACATAACCGAAATCGTGTATGGGACGGAAGCGATGACCGACGGTGATAGGACGACCATTCTTGAACCATTCCACCTTCAAGTTGGGATCGGTGACTGGTTCGATTTTGCATTCGAAGTGGGCATGACCACCTTCACGTGTATTGGTCAAACTCTTCGGGTGTGTAAGGAATCGAGGACGTACATTCACAACTTCATCAACATATTCACTGCGGCGATAGCGTGAAGAGTCCTCCAAGTAGGCGATCTTCTGTAGACCTGATTCATTCTGTGTCTCCAAGATTAGATCGCTCTTAGCAATAATGCGCACAGAGCACGAGGTGACAGCTTCACCGAGTTGATTGCGTGCTTGACAGGTGTACACACCCGAGTCGACGGCATAACAGCCGAGCAAATCGAGCGCAACATAGTCGAACTCATATGCTGGACGGAAGCGGTGACCGGTCTTAACGGGCTTACCATTAACGAACCATTCTACACGCATGCTGGGATCACCAACCGGCTGCAGGCGACACTCCAAATGAACGTTGGTGCCTTCAACGGTTTCGATGTTATGCAAAGCTCGTGTAAATTGTGGCGCTTGCATGATAGTGATGTCTTCTTCCACTTGATGGCGACGACGTGTTGAGTCCTCAAGCTGATGGATTTGCTCGAGTGACATTTCATTTTGAGTCTCAGTCACAATGTCTGAGCGATCGATAACACGTACACACGACGAGGTATGGGCCGAACCCAGATGGTTGGTGGCGCGACAAGTGTATTCGCCGGAGTCGGCAGCGGTGGCCTGTACGATGTCCAAAGCCACGAAACCGAAATCGTAATAGGTGCGGAAGCGTGAGCCTACGGTAATGGGGCGTCCATTATGGAACCACTCTACACGCATGGTTGGGTCACCCATTGGTTCCAGGCGACACTCCAAGTGTATGTTTTTACCCTCATGTATGGGTTTGTGGTCGGAGAGTGGTTGTACGAAAATCGGCTTCGATTTGGAGATCTCCTCGATATCATAATGTGGCTCAACGAATGGCTTGCTTTCTAAGTTTTGAGTCTTTTCATAAAGACCTCGGTGCATGCTTGATGTATCAATGCTGGAACGAGCTGTTTGGGAGAGGAAATTAAGTTGATATTAGAAGACTTTTACAAATGTGAAGACGGGTTTGAACTTACTTTCTACTACCATTGTTCCTTGCAACTGTGCTTCACCTAACTTATTTCTGGCTACCACAGTGTATACACCCGCGTCTTCGGCGCGCACTTGAGAGATATCCAAAGCGACATAGCCGAAGTCGTGATAGATTTGCACGCGTGTAGCTGCGGTGATAGCGCGACCATTGTGGTACCACTCGATCTGCAAGCTGATATCGCTTTGTGGCTCAACACGCGCCTCGAAGTGGGCACGTTGACCCTCCAAGATCTTGTTGGTACCCTTCATGGGACCGAGGAAACGTGGAATTTGCGTTACTCTGGTCTCTTCCTCCTCGGTGCGACCATAACGTGAGGAGTCTTCCAAGTGTTGTAGCTTCTCTAAGCCACCTGGGTGTTGAGAGTCGGAGACGATGTCCTTCTTGGACAACACGGTCAATTGTGCGGAGGTTGTGTCTTGACCGATGGCATTGTAGGCGCGGCAAGTGTAAGTGCCGGCATCGTAGATTGTCAGTTGCTTAATAGTCAACGCAACATATCCGAAGTTGAAGAAAGTTGTGCTACGGGAGCTAGCCTCCAACGGTTGGCCATCTTTGAGCCATTCCACACGCATGGTAGCATCACCGATGGGTTCGAGTCGTGCCTCGAAATGAGCGTGGGCTCCCTCATGTATATCCAATTGATTTTGTAAGGGTGTCTTAAATTGTGCTGGTGCAATTGGTTCAGGCACCTCCTGTACATGACGACGTTGCTGAGATTTTCTATAATCTTCTAGCTCTTCAACCTTCTCAATATAACGTTGCTGTTCGGGTATACCCAAGTCAGCGGTCACCTCGGAACGTATATTCACACGAATGTTCGAGGTACTGGTGGCCTCACCCACGCGATTAACTGCACGCACTGTGTACGAACCAGCATCTTCAGCCCGTAGGTGCAAGATGTTAAGGGAGACGTAACCGAAGTTGAAGATTGCAGTGATTCGCGAGCTAGCAGTTATGGGGCGACCATCCTTGTACCACTCTACACGCATGGTGGGATCGTTGACCGGTGTAACTTGAGCTTCAAAGTGCACATTTTTGCCCTCCTCGAATTCGCCCAAATCTCTGAGTGGACGTATGAATACAGGTGGTTGATTCATGAGTTCTTCAGAGCTCTCTTGACGCTGATAGCGTGAATAATCCTCCAGTTGATTGATATATTGCAAACTGTTCGGGTTTTGAGAGCTCTGTTCGATGGACGGACGTTGGATGACGGAGAGAATGGCGCGTGATTCAGCAACACCGGCAGCATTGGTGACGCGGCACATGTACTCACCGGAGTCGTGAGTCATAATGCTCAAAAGGTCGAGCGCTATGAAACCAAACTTAAAGACAGAGGTAGCGCGTGAGCCTGAAAGTGAGAGGATTTGAGATATGTTTAAAATTGATTAAATAATTGAGGTGGTTAATGCATGTGCACAACTTACTTGCTGCCATAGGTTGCCCATTCAGGAACCATTCGACGACCATTGTGGGATCACCCACTGGTTCGATGCGTGCCTCCAAGTGCACACGATTACCCTCGACTTGTTGCACATTTTGCAATGGTATAATGAATTGTGGCGGTGGGTAGACACGGTCTTCTTCACCGGGGCGCAAGTGTGGCTTTGCGCGTTCTACATGACGTAGATAAATAATCTCTGGACCAGGTACGGGCCTGTGTGGGGGCAAGATAAAAAAGTTTCATTACAGTTTCAAAGAAATATGGTCTTAAGTGTACTTACTCTGGTTCAATAATTTTTGTTGGCCTTGGCAAATTGAGACGTCTTTGTTCAGGCGTTGGCTGTTCCCTCGGTACTTCTATATAGAGTCTTGCGCGATTTGCCGAAGAGCCAGCAATATTTTGTGCTGTGCACTGATACCAGCCGGCATCGGTGGCTTTAACGCGTGGAATTTCCAAGCAGGTAGCGCCACCATCAATACCGATATAGCGTTCAGCAGTCGATGAGATCTGCACACCATCCTTTTGCCAGGTGATACGTGGCACCGGTGTGCCAATGGCATTGGCGCTCATGGTGATAGGTTCGCCTTCACGTACGGTCATAGTGCTGAATCTTTGAACAAATTGTGGTGCGACAATCTGTTCCTTCTCCAACACATTCAGTTGCGCTTCGATAGCGACCTCACCGGCCTTGTTGCGCGCCAAACATTGTACGACGCCAGTATCTAAACGGCTAACATTGGTAATCATCAGCGAGTGACTGCCCGATTCGTTAACAAGTATCTTGTGAGACACATCATCCTTGACTGGGCGGCCATTAATAAGCCAGATAACCTCTGGGTAGGGATTGCCAGTGACGCGGCAATCGAAACGTGTCATACGACCTTCGGTTATCTCACGATCAGCATAACCCTTAACGAAAGTGGGTGGCAAAGCTTTACCGACCTCCAATTGTTCAGCTGCCACATCGACAGGCTTCGGTTCGTGCGCAGTTTCGGCTGCTGGTTCGACGGCCAAAACGGCGGAAGAGACTACACAACCCTGTATATTCTCGGCGAGCAGAGTGTAGTGACCTGCATCTTGATAGGTGGCATTCTTTACACGCAACGTTGCAATGCCGCTGGAATAGGTTGACTCGTACTTTTGTGATGGCACCAGACGTTGACCATTATGGAACCATGTTAGGCGTGGCTTGGGATTAGAGCCAACCTTGGCGCTGAAGACAGCATCAGAACCTTCGACGAGTTTCGAGTTACGTGGTTTCTGCGCAATTTGTGGCGCTTGTGCTGGACCCATAGTTCGATCCAACTCTTGCGTCAAATATTGGTCCTGTTCGTAAGCCGAACGACGTGTGATGGCCTCACGATATTGCACTTCGCGCAGCAAACGATACTCGAAAGTATCGACGCGGAATTCCTCCTCGATGGAGGTGTACGAATAGCCGTTGGTGTACAATGACTTGTCAAGCTTCTGTACAGGCTGCAGTTGGGGCATAGGTGCGCCCTCAGGCTGGATGTAAACGCTGCAAATGGCTTCGCCATATTGATTGCGTGCCGTACACGTGTATTCGCCCTCATCGCCGGGACCGATATGATTAATCATTAGCGATACTTCACCGGTGGCCTCATTGTAGCTCATACGGAACTTTTGTGACTCGAGAAGTGGTGCGCCTTTTCGGGTCCAAGAAACGAATGGCTTTGGATTGCCACGCAATTTACCCTCGAACAGGGCATTACCGCCCTGTGCGAAACGGGCATTCTTGAAGATCTGCTCAAAGATCGGTGGTGAGATATCGCCTTGACCGTAGATGTGCGTTAGAGCTGGTGGTGTATAGGCACCGCCTGCGCCGACATGTTGTTGCACTGCAAAGGAGATGGACAATGAAAGAATTAAATTAGTTTTGATTGCAGAAAATGAAGGTCTTACAGGAGAAACAGGTGAGATGTTTTCGTAAAAATTTTCGTATAAAATGCGCACCATTTTTCATAATGGAAACATCTAACGGTTTACGATTCCTCACTGAGAATTTCGACAAGCTTGAGAAGCTTTTTTATTTTAATTCTTTTAAATGAAATAAAATTTTGAATAAAGAAAAATTTTGGAGAAATTCAAAAAAAAAAAAAAAAACATGAAGAAAAAATCAAAAAATACGAAAATCGAAAGTGACAAAATAAATGTGAAAATAAAAATGAAAAAGTAAACATTACAGAGTTGCTACAAATGAGACAGAGCCCGTAACACCAGCTGTCCATATGCGCTCTTCTCACTCACGAGAGCTGCTAGGCATGCACTTAAGTGAACCTACTTTTTCTATAAAAACAGTGAAAACGAAAACTATACTCCTTAGCCAATTGCCAATATTTGCAAATACGTATTATTGATATTTGATCTTATTTTAGAATTTGCTAGTATGCCAAGGTAAACAAGTTGGACGCACACTTATGATTCATTGCTGAGTTGTTTTTTTTTTTGAATTTCTTAAGAGTTCATTAATCATTGGCCTACTTTATAGTTGAATATATTTTTTTAATGTTCGAAAATAGTGTTAGTAAAAATAGCATTATTGTTCCTGTGCAAGAATAGTGGGTCAGTTCGAGTTCGAAACAGCTGATCGCCGCTTCTTGCACTCTCATACGCCCACTCTCGCGCATTTTCATTTCATTTTGAAAGTGGAAGCCGGTAGTTGGTGAGAGCTTATGTACATTTCTTTATTTGTCTCTCGTGACAAATCTCGCTGTTAAAGTGAGAGGAATATATATTTATTATACACTGTATGGAAGGAGTGTAGTTGCTATTTTTGTGTCTAAGAAAATACAACAACAAAAAAGACAAGTTTTTGTATGAGCAAATACAATTGGTTTTTCATTGTTTTTGATTTCCTTTCTTGCGCATTTTTCTCTCTCTCTCTTTTATTTGAGTTTGGTGTATGCGTAAAGGTAACAAGTGTTTGACCCACTTTTCTGACTGATTGGTTTATGAGGGTGTAATGATATTAGCGGCTGGAAATGGTGTGTGCGCCCTAATGTGCTGTTGAAGAAAGTGCTTTGGTGAGAATGGTTTTTCTAATTTTAATTGTTTTTTTTATAGTATTCTTTAAAATTTAATGAATATAGACTGAATTAAAATTTAAAAGAAAATTAATAAAATCATTTAAATACATATATTTTTAGGTAAAAAAAACCATAAAATATTTTATAATTTTTTTTTTTATTTGAAATTTTGAAAAATATATAATAAATATATTTTTTCGTGGTCAACACAAAGTAAATTTAACTAGCAAAACGAAACAAAATATTAAAATAATAAATTAATTAAATAAATATATTTTTATAGGTGAAAAAACCGCAGAGATTTTTTTAAATGCAAAAAAAAATAAAATAAAATACAAAAGAAAAAAATTTACAATAAATCAACTATACTGATTGTTCTGTTGGAGCTTAAATTATTGACAAATAGTTTCTAAGATTGTAGATTGTTCCTACCGCAACTTTACTCAGGGTGTGGAAGTTGTGAAGTCAATGTCAATGTATGTGTGCCACAGGAACTAACGAGAAAAAACCTCTTGGACCAAATTTCTATTCGCGAATCGCTGTTAGATCGTAGCAAAATCGGCCCATTTCTAAAGAGGATAATGACTGGTGTTGAAGAGTGAAAACGGAAACGTTTGTGTTTGAAGGGCAGTTAGCCGGCGTAAACGGTCTCCAAGGAAAAATTGACGGACAGTATGTTTTTTTTTGTGTATTTGGTGGGATTGGCAAGGAATTATCTACCATGAGCTACACAATGCATATTTGACATGAAACAGATAATTCTAATTATGATAAATAAAGTCGTAAATTTAAGGGGCATACCTAGTGGGAAATTACGAAAAAAATCCATTTTTTTCATATTTCGGTAGATTACATCTTTAAAAATAAGATATTAAAATTTCAAATCGATATCTCAAATAGTTTTTGAGTTAAAGCAATTTAAAGAGCAGCCGCTCGGCAGCTAGAGAGTCTCATTAGCTACGAGACGTACCTGATCATTTCAGCTTTAAACGCGTTTTTCTCGAAACAGCATTTTTCCGAATTTGCTGCCGTGATTACTCAAAAATAAATGATCCGATCACTATCGAATTTTTTTACATGTTCTATATATAGTTCTCCGTACAATGACCTATCGGTTTTTGATTTGATCAAAAAATCGAATTTTGGCAGGCCAAAAACGACCAAAATTTTGGGCAAAATTCGACTTTTTTTTTAAAACGCCGCCGTATTGTCAATTTTTTATTTTTTTTTTAATCGTAGGTCATTGTACAGACAATATTATCTAGTTTAATGAGAATTTTTTTTAGATTTCATCCACGGAGGAGGCCAAAATCACTGCAGCAGGGAAGGACATTTTTTTCGCGCCGGTGGAGACTATAGCTTAAAAAATATTTAATTTTTTTCTTCAAAAATTTCACTGTATATTCTTGAAATATGTATAAATATATTCTTAAAATTTTGAAATAATAATAATTTTTTAATAATAATTCCCAAAAATCACCTTTTTTAGGCCAGTACACTGGGTGTGCCCCTTAATGCAACGTACATTTAATGCAAAAAAATGGATTTATTTTTACTAGAAAGAGATCCATTGTTTTTGCATAAAATTTAATACTTTAATTTTTACTTTTCGTAACCCTTATTGAAATGGTTGCAAACGATTTTTTTTTTGCTATCTTTACATGGGCAATCGGAATAGTGCTCACATGACGGTCGGACTCGACAAGGGCCATGATTTTATCGACTTTTTCCACTCCGTGAAGTGTTCAAGTGCCGAACTTGGACACACGCTCAAACCAAACTGAATCAAACAAATATCAAAACTGTCAGTAAAGCCTTTTTGGTACGAAATGTCATCTTTTTAACGCCATCTAGCGGAACCCTATCGAACTTATGCAACGGGAGATGCAGATAAATAACGCCATCTACAGGAAGTTTTCAGCAGAACTAAACCAAACTTGCTAAGTGTGCTGTTTTTAAAGGAGGGGAAAATTTATATTAAAACGTCTGACATAGGCCGAGAATGCTGGACCCACCTTCCATAAAACAGAGCTTCTATTTTCAACCGATATGTGCGCTTAGCAATAACTATTAAAAGAATTAATCGCGCAGAAAAACAGACTTGGGTGCGCAAACAATTCAGCCTCCCATAGAAATGGACTTTGGTTCTTCTTTTCGAAGAACAGATAAGCCGCCTGGTGCTCAGTATTAAAATCAATCGAGTATCTACTGTTCGATTCGATCCGAGCTTAGTCCTCCTTGCTGCCTTTTAATTGTGATAAAATTTAAATTTACTCATTAAATACTCTTTGTAATCGCAATGATTTTTAAATGTGAATGAATTTTTCTTTTTCTTTTTTTATTTCGAAGAGCGCGGTTCTGAGCAGAGCAACTTATTTTAGAAACTCCATTTCAGTCATTGACTCGCACATTTTCTAACGGAACTCTCATAGAACAGTGTGACATGATCTCATTTGTAAAAATTTAAATGCCTTTTTATATAATCAATGAAGTTAAAATTATTTTTATTATAATTTCTTAATAAATTTATTTTCTAATTATTTATATTTATTTTTTTTGTCGGCTGTTAAATATGTTAATTTCCACCAAAGGATTAGCAATCGAGGTATTTATAAATTATGAAATAAATAATTAAAAAAAGTAGAAGTTAAAAATAAAAACGATGAAGGGATTAAAATCCAAAAAAAAAAAAAAAATGATAATACATATTTTAATTACTCATTCGTCATCATCGCTGATCCTTTGGGTGTCAATTTAATCATCATCTACATACAAACATTTAACGCTTGCCAATTGTGGCGAGATTATGAATGCTGGCTCAGTGCCAACAAACAACAAGCAACAACCATTAACCAATACAACCACAAGCCAATTGCCAAATTGTCGAGTGCGACCTTGTGTTGGTGTCAGAATCTTCGAAAAAGCTCAACGACACCAATACAAAAGCAAATGACTAGTTGTATGCTGAGATGAGAAGTAAAAGCTTTACGCTTTCTTCTAAAAGCACATAAATATAATATATACACATACATATGTATCAATTATATATATATATCTACATATATATATATATATATATATATATATATATATATAACTTTAAATACATTATTTGTATGAACATATATACATATGTATGTGCATTGTTCATATGTACAATATATATGAAAATATGTATGAATTTTTGGCTAATTGACAAACTGCACAATGATGAGTGGCCACCATGGCATAGTCATCCACCAACATACATCCACTTTAGCCTATATACATATATATAATATGTGTGAGCATATAAATATACACACAGCTCATCGAGTGCAAGCGATCCTAAAGTGTCCAGCTGATTCATTCTGCAATTGGTTATGATGATCAAAGCAGCGGATAAACGAACACTGAATAATACTTTATGAGTGGTGCTTTGGCATAAGATAAAATAATATACATATATTTAAGAAATTTATGCAAAAAAGAATTAATTTAAAAATTTATGCAAATCGGTTCAAAAAAATTCATTGAGAGAGCAATATATTATATGAAAAATTAACTAAAAAGAAAATAAAGTGAATTGAATTTTTTTGGGTAAAATTTTTTTGATGATTTAGCCTGCCTTTTTCGTTGTAATATTTCTTTTATATGGAAATACATTATTAGTTTAATTTTTGTTTTTTTACTAAGGCAACTAGGCAAGACAGGAAATTTTTGTTTTATTTTTTGCTTTTAAAAAAAGCAAATATTTATACAATTTTTTATCAAATAATAAATTATTACGTTTGAAATACTTCTGTGCCTAAAAAGTGGCACTAAAATTTGTGGGCTTTAATTTACTTTAATTATTTTAGTTTTTAATCTCTAAATTTGTATATTATATATTTTCAACATTATTACACCGTCTTCAGCAACTTTAAAGAAAAATTTCATAGTGTTAGGATATAATGTTGTATCCATACAAATATGTCAGTATACTTTTTCGAATTATTATAACATGAAATTAAGCTTGTATAGGAATGGAAATAAAAAGACGTTTTTAAATTACTGTATATATATTTTTTGATATACATATAAGTATATAAAGTTCTAAGGCAAAGAATAACACGCTGAGTTAAAGAGGAGAACGATGAATTTTGTTGCAACAATTAAGTTATTTGCTACAGAAGCATCATCAGGATATCGAACACTCCTTAAAGGAGCACAATATTTAAAAGTACCAAAATTGATTTAAAATCAAAATCAAAATCTGCGTACATACATAATTCAATATTAAGCCAAATCAATATTAAATTCATTATAAAAATTTACCTTAAATCAATTTGAAATTTTAATTCATTGTCAATGGATTACTGCTAGTTGCTTTGAGATGTGAAGTCCATTTAATAACACAATTTATATTTATTTAATTTTGTTTATATAAATCATACATACATTTTATAATTTTTATCTGAGATTATTCTCACTTAGAATATTTAGACAAAAGAAGAGATATTCAAATGTAAAAAAATTATGGATAAATCAATTTTAGTTTTAAATTGCAAGCTCAATTTTAAAATGTTTAAATATCTTTAATAATATATGGAAATATGTATTATAAAGTAAAAAAAATTAAGCCGTTTTATAAAAGTAGCAGAAGACTATTTTCAAATGACTTCGCTTTTTTAATTTTTTTAATTTAATTTTACTCTAAAAATGCTTATTGACCCAAAATATAACAAATATACAAATTTCATAATTTAGGATGGTAGCACTATGTTTTGTTGGTTTCTTATTAATTAATTCAATAAATTTTCAATTTACATTTGTCCTAAGCGCAGGCTATCGCTTCGGATCGCCGAAATACCTTTAAAGATACTTTTAAACTGATATTTCCTATTTTTCAATATAAAAATATAAAAAAAAAAATAAAAAGGCATTAATTACGATATTCTCCAATTGAAAGCAGTTTAATAAAGTAGAAAATAAATGTCCAGAGTTGGAAAAAGTGTGAAAATCGAGAACCACCACAATGTGAAGTTTCGAACAACTTCGTATGATTTACAAAAAAAAAAAAAATATTATTTAAATCATCGTTTTCAGAAAAACCAAGTAAGGCGGTGAATATAGATCTCAAAATAGAGTTCTTTGAACGTAATTTTGTGTCATTCTAAAATCTGAGATAGAGAGAAGAATTGAAATTTTTTGACATAAAGAGATCCTTAAAGACTATTTTATTCGAAAAAGTATAGCGAGTTTTATGGCTTTTTACGCTACTATCGTAATAGAAGAGAATGGCAGTGAGTTACTACTTCACCGATAATAAAAAAAAAAATAAAATGATAAAAAAGTTAAATGAAAAAAATAATAATAGTGAAAATAAGCAATTAAATAAAAAAAATAAATAATACGAAATATAATACCAAAAAGTATAATATAATTAAAATAAATTAAATTAAGCTAGTAGAGGATAAATTTAAAAAAAAATTTAAAATGTAGAAAAAGCTTTAAGGAAATGAGACGTAATAAAATGTAATGAAAAACAAAATAGAATTGATTTAAATAAAAAACAAAAGTAATACAATACAAAATAAATAAAATAAAAAAAAGTAAAACAAATAAAATAAAGTAAGAAACACTAAGTAATATAAATCGAAATTAAAATTAAAGAACAAAATATTAAAATATAAAAGGAACTAAAATAAAAATAATAAAAAATGAAATACAATAAAACGGAGTAAAGCCAAATATGATATAATACAATAATTACATTATTTTACATATAATGAAATAAAATTGAATCGAATAGATAAATAATATAAAGTAATTTGAAATAAAACAAAAATTTAAAACCAAGTGAGGTACATTTTTTTTTGTTTGTTAAAAAAAGTACTTCAAATAAAATAATATAAAAAATTAGTGAGAATGATAACATAAAAAAATAAAAATGAAATAAAACTGGTAAAAAAATTTTTGATATAAAATAAATAAAATTAAATTAAATAAAAAAAAATTAAATTAAATTAAATCAAAATATTTTTTGTATTCTATTTCGATTTAATTAAATTTTTTTTAAATAAAACAAAATAATATATTTTAGCATAAAATTCAATCAAAATAAAATAAAATAAAACAAAATAAAATAAAATAAAATAAAATAAAATAAAATAAATAAAATAAAATAAAATAAAATAAAATAAAATAAAATAAATTGAATTAAATAAAATAAAGTAGAATAAAACAAGTAAGAGATAATCTGATTTAAAATAATAATAACCAGAATAAAAAAATAAGTCGAAATGAAAATATTTTTATAATAAAATTTAAATAAAATTGTATAAAACAAAAAAAATATATAAATAGTATTTAAATAAAACAATAAGATATTAATTTATGTTGATATTAATAAAAAGATAATCTATAGAATGTAAATAAAACAAGTAAAAATAAAAATAATAAATAAAATTGAAAATAATTATTATTTTACTGTAATATTATTAATAATAGAAATAAAAAAGCAAATATATCAAATCATAAAAAATAATTAATTGAAATAAAAAATTTGAAAGGCAAAATAAAAAAGAAAAACAAAATATCAGCAAATAATATATTAAACAAAAATAAAATAAATTTAAAAGAAAAGAATAAAAAATTAAAATTTTAATAGTTCAAAAAAAACTTATAGTAAAATAAAAAATAAATATGAAAATATTTAAAAGTTTATCAAACGAACGAAATTAAAATATTGAAAGAAATGTGAAGAGACATAAAATGGAATTAAATAAACTAAAAAAAAAACATTTCACAAAATTAAGTGAAATAAAATAGTTTGAAATCAAGCAAAATATATAAGAAGGAATAAATATAATACAAAAAAAAAATATTATAAATAAATAAATTAAATTAAAATATTGATGAAAAATAAAATTAAAAGAAATTTAAATAAAAAAGTGAGAAAGATAAATAAAAATATAAAAATAAAATCAAATAAATGTGAGAAAATTAAATGATAATTTAAAACTAAAAAAAAATTTAATCATATCTCCTAAAACAAAATGATTAAAAAAATAGAATATTCAAAAAAAAAAAAAAGATTTAATTAAAAAAGTAAAAAGAGTTAAATTTTTTAATTAGGATATTTATTTCTTCCTGTATATACATATATTCTTGCCCAAAAGAAAAGTAAAGTAGCTGTAGCTGCTAAGCTGAGAATTATAAAAATGTAAAATACGTGTCAAAAATAAAATTCTCAAATCTCATTTTCAATGGTCTACAACTAAACAACCAAATTAGCGTAGTGAGAAAGGAACAAAAATCGAATTGAAAAATGCTTGATGTTCGCGTTGCGTTTCATTAACAACTTTCACGCAAAATGATACATTTATGGCAACAAATGACAAAATGCGTCCATTAAAAACACAGTGGCTCAACTGACCTCTTTGCTGAGTTATTTGCTGACTCTGAACGGTGCGATGTTCAGTGCGGCTTATCCTTTGCTGTTGTTGCTGAACGCTCGAGAATTGTTGTTGACTCGAGAATTGTTGTTGTGTCTCATGATGAGACTGCATTTGCTGTTGTTGCGACTGCTGTTGCTGTTGCTGCTGCTGCTGCTGCTGCTGGTACGGATTCGAATTTTGTCGTTGCATTTTCGTTATATAAAACTATTTCGCATTTAAAATGATAACTGTAGGTAGTTATAAGTGACTTTCCTTTCGCAGCTAATATAAATATATGTAATTTGTAAACTCACTGGTTGTGTTGTTAACTAACGGATAGATTGTGTAGACTGGTTGGATTTTTGTTGGCTTGCGGTGCGATGCAAACCAAACAATATTCGAACCACTTAAGTATATCTATCCGATTTGGCAACACTTTTCGAGTTGCACGTTTTGCGTTGATTTTCGTTTATTTTCTCACTTTGAGCTGCTTTTATGTATTGACTGATTTGAATACACTTTATACATACATATATTTTCACTTCAAAAACACAGATTCACTTTATGCTTTTCCGTTGTAGGTGCTAAAGGGTGAGGTTAGGAAATAGAAAAAAATAAATAATAAATAGGAATGCTACTGAAATAACACTAATAACTAATGGAGACTTGAGCGAAATTTTTATTTTTTAGTTTTTTTTAATTTTTTTTATGTATTTATTAAAAAAAAATTTTTTATATATTTATATTTTTTCACAATTATTATTGTATAAAAAAAATTTGTTTGTTTTGCAAATCCTTAAACTTTTTCTCATTTTGTATACATTTTCAAGTCAAAATATCCTTTTTAAAATTTTTTTCTATTATTTTTTTTATCGTTCGGTCTTAACTTTGCAGTTTAACTATTTTTCTTTATTTGTGTTTTTCTCTCAATTTTTTTATTTTAGTTTTCTCTTTTTTTGCGATCACTTTTCACACAAATTTTTCATTTTCAATGCCATTTGTACTTAGTTTTCACAAATATTTTCGTTCTTACACAAACACACCAACCAAAAACGAACAGTGTTGCTGAGTTTGTTGTTGCAAACGTTGCGGCTGTGCAAAAAAAAAAATAAAAAAAATAAAAAAAATGATGTGCATAGTCAGAGAGAAAGTATGTACATATGTACATTATTTTATTGGATGAAAATTTCTATTTTCGAAAAATGATTCCGTCGCAGGCTGTCCTTTTCGTATTCCTGCACGGCAAGTTATTCTCCATCTCACTTATTATGTACGAAAATATAACACCGATCACTTTATGCCGCACACACACGCACATAAACACACACAAGTTGTTGTTGCTGCTGCGGCAAATAATTGTACAAACATAGAGCATACAAAGAGCCAGCTAGTATTATCTTGCTTCTTAATTTTCACTGTGGCTATTTTTAAAAATTCACAATTCAGTTTCAATTTAACTGAAAAAAAAAGTTGAGCAAAGCCAATTTTTTTTTGAAAATTTCAAAAATTTTTTGAATTTTTTGAAAATTAAAAAATTTTTTTTTTCAAAATTTTTTCAATCGTTTCTGAAGTGTTTCATTTTTACAATAATTGTTTTCATGTTTATTTATTTTTTAATATTTTTTAAGTATTCTTAGATTAAATGCAAATGCAAATTGCTTCAGTATAATATGTATGTATGTTTATTTATTTATATTTTCATTTTCACACCACTATTATCCTTCAGTTGTAATCCAGATGCGTTGCTGTTATCCTAACGCTTTTTTTTGTTTTCGTTATAATCCTTGCGGGGCACAGTCATAATTTTTTTAATTTTTCTTAATATATAGTATATAATATATACAATTAATCAGCATATATAAATATATGTGCATATACTATACACATGTATGTATATGCATTATGACCGAGTGCAACACTTCGGCTACGCTTTCGCTGGCAGATCCGTCCGGATCAACCGAATTACCCACAAACCGATCAACCGCACGACCTACCAACCGACCGAACGATAGCCCGTCGACCGCCTCCCAGTTAGACCAACAACACCAACAACGAAATATAATGAAGAAAGCGGCCGAACGCACAATCAGCACGGTTCGTATGTCGCACGATCACCCACCAGTTGCAGACCGATACACCGCACCACCACCCTACGAATGCCACAGCAGCAGTTGACGAATCTTTTTTTAGATATTCAGCGCAGCGAAAAATATTTTTTCTTCTTCATAAAAGTTGGTTACGAAACCAAAAATTTTTCAATATTTTCAGATTTTCACAAATTTTTGTTTTAAGGAAAATTTACACTGTTATTTAATTGCACTGAACTTTTAACTAAGTTTTTAAAAAAAATTTATATTTTTTTTATATATCCGTAGTGATATTCCTTCAGCAGCTTACTTTTCGTTATCCTTTGCGGCGTTATAATGTGTTTTATATTTCGTTTAAATTATATATATATATATATATATATTAACTTTTTTGTTGAAATTAACTCTCTTATTTTTCACCTCAGTTATTTTAAATACAAAAATTATACGAAAAACTCTATGTTAAATATATTTTCTTTCAAATATATATGTATTTTTTTCAATATATATACTCGATGTATATATTATATATCTATATGCGCGTATGAAAAACTTAAATTTCAGAAATTAAAAATCTTCTGGTCTAAGTCATAATCCCCGAGACTGAAACCAAGACGTCGATCGTTTTTGAGGTGCGAGCGAAGAATGATACAAGATCGTTCCGATTGTGTTCAAATAGCTCCTTCATCATTGTTGCCTCGTTTATGTATTCACCGTGTGACATGAGTAAATGCCAATGGCGTGAGAGTCGTTTTCCACATTCGTTTGATACTTCGTGTTGGTTCGTTTTGCTTTATTGTTGTTTGATGTGTGTTTGTTGTGCACTGCTTTTGTTGCTTGGTATACTCATCGATTTTATTTTTGGTATATTCGTCGGTGGCACAGCATAGATGGTGGTCAAATTGATGGGGTTTAATTGTATGCCAGAAGAATTTTTTTTTAGTTTTTGGAGAAAGAAAACGATTTTCAAAATGCTTGGATGAATTTCACGATTTTTTGGATTCCTTTTCAGAACTTTATCTTCATAAGTTACTAAGTTTAAATCTTCAATTTATTTAATGGTATACTACGATCAAGGAAATTATTAGCTAAATAAAAAAAGAATATCGTGAAGTGGAGCAGGGACCGATTTATTCGATAAAAATCGAGTTTATTTTTAAATCGTTTGATTTACATGAAATTTGCTCAATTAAAATAATCGAGAATTCAAAATTCAAAATTCAAATTTTAGAATCGAGATCGCAATGCCTAAGAAATCAAATAAAAAAATAAATAAAATTATAAATTCGGTTAAAATTTTAACCGTAATCCATTTTTAGAAAAAACTCAAAATCTGCTTGAAATAAGAATTTAAAATTAAGAAACGGCAAACAAATTCTACATATTTTGAAATTTCAAAACTTTGTTAAAAAAATTCTAATCTCATTACTAATGTTAATATACGCACTTCCTGCAAAATCCAATTTTTGCAACAAAAAAAAAAATAATTTCTTGAAAAAATTAAAGATTTGCACTACCCACAAATTTTATATTAAGGAAAGGAAGTATTCTGGACTATGGGACTAAAATTTAATTTTTTTTTAAAATACATATGTAACAATAATAAAAAAAAAAAAAAAAAAAAAAATCCATTAAAGTCATATAAAACAATAATTTCTAAAAAAAAAAACACAGTTATTTAAATATTTTTGAATTCATAATTACAGAAAAATCTAAAACAGAATCGGTTTCGAAATCCACTCATCATTTTGCCTTTTGCACGCCTCCTTCTTAAAAGCTATGCCGATCTAGAAAACAAGAAAGCAAGAGATACCCGAAACAAATTTACGCTCTCGTCTACACGACAATACTCTCTTGTCCACTGCCCACACGCACACACACACATATACATACTTGAGTGTAGAAAAATGTGTGCGCTTGGATTGCAAGATTTTTCGGTATTGAGTTAAATAGCTAAAAATAATTATGTGATTTATTTTTGAAAAATATTTTTCAATATTTGCTAGGGGTGGAAAGCAACAAGAAAAATAAATAAAATAATAATAAGAAATAAAATAAACTAAAAGAAAAGAAATATTTCTCACCAGAAGATTTTAATTTATCAAAATGAGTGTAAAAGTTTTTTTTTTTTTTAAACACACATACGTGTATGTATGTATGCTATGTGCTTTAGTAGCAAGGGAGACTCTGGGTATGATGAACTTACATATAATAAATTAATTAAAATATGGTAAAGAGTTCGCATAATGGAGTTAATGGAGATGATTTAAGAAAAGGTTGGGCCAAGTTTGTGATATTTTTATTTATTTTTTGTATATTAATTTATATACATATATAATTCGTGCTTTGTAACCGATGAAGCGACTTTCGACCGAGCTTCTCCTCCAAATAGAAGGACTAGCAATTTATACTTCGCATCCTCCGGAGCGATATGTAACCGCTGAAGCGGTTTTCAAACGAACAACCGATTGATTTTCATGAAGAGATTTTATTTTATATCAGAAATACACTTGTGGGCTTGACATCCCTTGCCAAGCGCCGGCCGTAATTAGAAAAATAATTTTCCAAAATTTTTTTTGGATACCGATTGAGATAGTACTCGAACCTTGGCCATCCGTATGTTAGTACGTAAAGCTAAAAATAAAAAGTTCTGCTTCCACTTGAGATTTTATATACTTTTATTTGTACCAAAGCAATTAAAACTTTTCATCAATGCGCCAAAATGTAGGCAACGCTTCTTATCACAGCCAACAAAGGTATATACGAAATTTACTTTTAAAATTTGTGGATTAGTTAATTTTTTTATATTTTCCCAGTGAGGCTGACACTCAAAAAAATTATTCAAATTATTTACAAATTACTTAAAATATTCTCGTTTAATTTTTCGAGTGACAATTATCGTGTGCATACTGTGTTGATGGCCAAAATGTCACAAAATCACAAGCAGTGCAAAAGTTTCAATATTTTTCTCGAGCATTCACGTCTAAATACTGAATTCAAGTTATGTACATACATATGTAATACATATATTTAAGTGTTTATGTGTATTTATTTAGAATTTAGAAGTGTATATTTATTTCAAATTCTAGTATTTAGATATGTATATATATTTATTTAACATTTTTTGTTTTTATAAATTAACACATATGTATGTACATACATTGTTTCAAAATACTTAGTCAGTAGAAAATGTAATAAATATAAATTAAAAATCGTTATATTAATGAAAATGTGCACGATTTGCCATAATTTCTTTTGAGAATCGAATTCACAGCTTTAAAATGCACAAATATATGTACATATGTAAATATAATCAAAAGTTCTAGACAATGTATCTGCTTAAGGAAAAAATTTCTTCTTTCTCGATTTATTCAACGTTACACGGCGCAGGTGGCCCGACATAACTCATCGGCACTTTAAATATAAAAAAATACATACAAACATATATGCACCACTTATGCATACATATATGTACATATATGCATAAATATACATACATATGTAATGAGAGGACTGTTCGCTACAGTTATGGAAGTTGCAATTTCAAGTGGCAACAACAAATAAAATAAATTTAATATTTCTTTTACAGCCCATTTACATACTCAGACATTATGTACCGAACAATTTACCTGATCGTATGAAAAATTTGAATTTATTTTCGCTTGCATGACTTATGCACAAGTGAATATGAATAATATGCATATACATATGTACGTGTTTGTATATATATATATACAATGTATGTATACACCACGCGTGTGCAAAAAAAAAATATTAATTTTTTAATTCAATTATTTGATGTGCATAAGGTGTGTGTATATATATGTGTGTGCATGTATGCAACACGTAACATCAGCCTAATTCTCGTTAAAATATAAAAACATACATTTCAATACAAACATATTTATACATATATACGGTATGTACAAAAAAAAAATTAAAAAAAATAAATAAATAAATAAATAAATATGTACATACATATGTGTACTGCCCAGTTTCATTTTTGGCATTATTACTTTTATTACTATTTTTTACTGTTTTTTCTCATCTGTCAAACTGCCTATCGGTTTACCATAAATGTCAAATTTTCGAAAACAAGTTTATTGCTTTTGGGTTTTTATGTGCTCGCTCATTTGAAGCGCATACTAAATTGGAGGACGAGAAAAACGCACTACAGCGGCAGCGTTGACTGCTAAATACACTCTAGTAAAGACGAAAAATTTTCTGACTGAACTGACTGACATATGTATGTACATATAGTAAATACATAAATACACAACGCTGAAGTGATTTTCAGCCAAATTCCTCCTCCAATTTGTGGTTTTGAGTCTTGATATACTGCCAAAAAATGGACCTACAGTTTAAATACATTCGGCGATGGCATGAAACTCCCTGCCGAGAGGCGACCTCTGACTATAAACGAAAGTGTAGCCGAAGTCCCGAATGTGTCTATTTCACGATGTTCTCAAGAGCTGCAACTTTTTTGCGGCACATTATGGCGTATTTTGCTCTTGAACTTACAGCTGTATCCACATAAAGTCCAGTTCGCATAACAGCTGAGGTCAGCTGACCATTCACAACAATGCCGTACTTAGCTCGATTGGAATTTTCTTCGGTGTTAAGATAGTTCCACATGGCACTTAATGCGAGCTTATATGGTTTTCTTGCGCTGACATTTCTCCGCCGCTTTGTCTCTCCTCTTGGCGATGGCAATTAGCCACCGAGATCGTGCATCGTGGTTTGGCATCGTGATGCTGCGGATAAATCTTTTGTTCTCGAGCATATTCGTCAAGTTATTGTTGAGTGTGCCGAAAGGTGGCAGAAAGTTATCTCAAACTGATCGAAGTTTTCAAAACTTCGTTAGGTGTTAATGAGCATAGTTTGAACTTTGTAATAAGAAAGAAATACATGAATATTTTGTTTTGCTTAGATCAGCATTTCATTTTGGGAAGTAGACCAGGGACCTCAGCCTTTTTTTGTCAATAGTTTCTTTTTCTAAAAATAATTTTGGTTTTGGTCAAAATTTTATATGATATGCCCTAATTGAATAACTTTATTCCGAAGACCTTAATATGCGAATATGATTTAAACTGCTCACCACGACTTGCGGTCTTAGTTTAAGTATCCCCTGGGTGCCAACAAACATCCCTGTGGAGGCGAGCTAAAGAGAGAAGGCGAACCCCATGCGGTTGTGCGTACGGCTTGGGATCCTCCACATGAAAAAAACTAGAATGAATAAACAAAAAAACCTCGCATGAGAGACCGTCTTTTGACGACGACCCCCGCAATTGTTCTACGAATAACGATTTAAGGACATGTACTTGGAATGTTCGGTCCCTTAATTGGGAAGATAACGCTGCCCAGCTGGGCTGACATCACCGCCTTCCAAGAAGTGCGATGGACGAAACAAGTACGGAAGATGGAGGGACCTTGTGAAATTTACTACAACGGCCAAGTTAGGTGTCGTTGATTTGCGGCGACGCTCAGACGGATGAGCAGGAATATATGACCAAATACGGCTTTTCCGAGCGGCTCCAACATACATTCTTATGCGGCCTCCGCCACGATGTCGAAATTGTGCTTGGCGACTTCAACGTCAGGGTGAGCACAACTTTCGCTAAATTAAGCCTCTACGACGAATAATCCCCAAATCGGTTGAGGCTGAACGAAT